GCAACAAATTTAGCAGCGCGAACAGGGTTTGTACAAACTTCGATAGTTTTTATCAACTGCTGAGCCTCGATATTCCATATATGCACATTTCCATTATACAGTGCAGCACAAATCCATGGTTCTGTTGAGTGCAAATCCACGGATTTTACTCGATCAGATCTTGATAAAAGTTTTCTTTTAATATCAAGCTTCATTGGCATTCTTCAGTACTCAGTAATATGGAAAATAAGCCTTAAATTAAAGTACACGTTGGAACCAAATCAAGAACCCGCGTTACGAGAAAAAACTTTAACTGAATTGTTTAAACAACATTAACAAAGACTGGTTAGAGGGAACTAAACATGCTTTTGCTACGCTAGCCTTAGTACCTAGAAGCAGAGGATTATTTACGTCTGTAATCTGACACCGAACTATGCAAAGATAAACTATATTGCTACGAGTAAATATGTGTAGTAACACTAATAAAATGATGGATTACTGTGAGGAGTCTCCTCACTACGGAACAGTTTTCTTGCCTTCTTTGGATAAAACGATCCAAAAATATTCTGGATAAAGCACCTTTATATTTTGGCCTGGTCCTCGTGGCATCAACGAATTCGGCAGATAATATTGTGTCTTAAATAGATGCAGTGGGGTTTTTGTCTTTTGTAACACCGCCTGCTATGCTAGGAACTGGTACCACACTTATAAATCTACCTACCATTGTTTCAACACACAGCACTAATAAAGAGGCTAATAGACTTGTTAACCTTTTGCATCATCTCTTTTTCTGAACTAAGCATCAGGAAGTTAGAATCTCTCAAAATTAAAAGGATTCCAGGGTGCTTAGACCAACATAAACCTGCAAGACTGGACAAAATTAAACCCACAGTCCTGAAATTATTTCCAGATCTGCTATTTTGCCTTCCCACTGATCTCTTCATTTCCTTTGGTCAAGCCCGTAAAAGAATGAAAAAGTAAGCTGAAAGTCCTTGTTCTCTGAGGTTGCAGATATCATGGAAAGAATTTTAAAAGAATTCCTTCAAACCATCTGCCGAAAACTGTTTGTTTATCACCCACAAAACAGTTTTCTCCCAGGCAGACGACATAATTCAATAATGGCTGTCTGAAATAGCTTCATTCCATCACTGAATTACAACTATTCTGCTCAAATAAGCTACCTAGACATCGAACGTTCAGTCTGGAACTTGAGCCTGTCGGCATTAGTGAAGTTCAATTAACTGTAGATATTTACTATTACAAGCCGTTAGGGTTCATTCTCCTTCATCTAACTGGCTCTCAAACAAGATGAAAGGAGGCTCAGCTGTGAGCCATTTCTCTTCTTATCGTTTGAATCATTTGTACCATTTATATCAACGATTTGTCCAGTTTTTTAGACTTTCTAACTCTGTTATAAGCAGGTCGTCTTATATCTGGAAGGAAACGCTTTGCCCAAATGACAACTACGTACAAACATATTCGTGTCTAAAATCACTAAACAGTGCAACACCTTACCAAAGCCAATAGTTAGAACCTCCCAGAAGATTCAATAGTTCCTTAGTTTCGTCGGTTATTGAGAGTGATTACCGTCTGTGTGACTCCACGATCACTTCCACCTGTAGTAACTGACACTTATACTCTTCTGATTAAGGAGGAACACAGCAACGAATACACTTTTTCATAAATAAAAACTCTTATACCGTCCAGACGCAGATCTCAAGGAATATATTAGTTTTCTAACCCCCCTCTCGGAAAAGTTGTAGACTGTAGTGCATTCCATGAATATTGAGTGATCCATGAGTGTGTTCGTTACAACGGAACGATACGGTAAATGTTATGCACTGTAATCAGATTTTAACTTGTTCCTTACATTTAATTAAGATTTCACTAAAAATAAGTAGATCATTAAGACAAACTACACAAGAGTTCTGACCAGGATTTGGTGCATCTAGCATTACGAAATACACATGAATTGCATGAGTGTAATTTGCCACGGAACAAACATTTACCAAACATATGTTCATCTTCGTGACCTGCATCGCAACTCCTCAATGAATTGTTATCTGCGTAATTCTGAGTACTCATTGGATCGGGATGACTTAGTAATATAGCGGAATTCTTGATGTCGTAGTTGTGTCGAGTCACAGTTGACTATGATCAATACTACAGATAGATTACGTGCCAATTACCAGGTTAGGTCCCTCCGTAGGATAAATATTAGAAGAACAATTGTAGATTGTAGTTAGGATATATTTGTTGGCGATCTTATGGTATCTAAATAATACCGAGATCGTGCCAAAGTTTACGGGCGAGACTACCGTGCGTACGTGAGCATGTTCAAGGTCAAGAACAATGGAAAGGCGTGTTTTTTGGTGCACTTAAACAAAAGGATACAGTAAAGCAATCACTGGTACGGTTGATTATGATAGTAAATGTTTCCATCACACCAATCGTGTCCTCTTCATAAAAGTAGGTCACTACAATGTCCTGAGGAATCATTTTATGAAATGTTTCTCGTTCATGGCATTAGAAATTTGCACACTTTTCGTGGTCTAGTATTAGTTCCTTCAGAGTTGTATAAAGAGGTAAAATAAGCTTTTCTGGGAATGCTAAAGATTTTAACAAGCTGTAGACTTCTTTGCCAATGAATGTAAGGAAATGTGCCATAATGTTAACATCCTAAACATATTCCTTGATCATAGTCCAGATTTCGGACCTTTCTATATAATCCTCAAAAGCATCGAAATTTGAATGAATGCTGAACTGTTCCATTACAGGCCTCATCGTGACGTCAGTTTGATGAGTAGAAGTATTTGAATTATTGAACGAACTAGGAATTCCCGAAATAGCGTAATTTAGACCAAGAAGAACTAGGTGAGCACAAACGAACGTATTGTATTTAAAATTCGAAATTAGGTGGACAAAAATTACGAAAAAAATCATCAGATCATACAAACACTACACAGTCATTCTTAATCTCATGCTCCTTTGCGAATGTTATATTTCATTTATGCCTGAGTATTACTAGTGAATAAGGGGCTTGTACAGCATAATGGAGTCAGAAATCATAAGATACATTTCTCTTAACATGGTTTTACAGATCTGGAATGATGAAGCGTCTAACATATTAGTAGCCATTTGAGATATGATCAGTGAGAAGTGTTTCCTTTAAACAATTATATGAGAATTAATTTGTAAAATTTATGATGAACCAAGTAACGACATGATGCTTTATACCAACAATGTATGTCAACACATTGAACAAAAAACAATACAACATGCAAGTCGTTATGAAGAATCAGATTTTCATTAAGTAAAACTGGGAAGAACAGAGAGAGTACAGTTACAATCATCAAATCAATTAACCATTCGAAATACATGTGAATACTCAATACTCAATACACACTTTGAAATTATTGATAATCACATGAGCTACTGATCTCTACTAAGTAGTAAAATACAATATACAGAATACAAGTGAATACGAAAGAAATAAAGTTAATAACAGAATCAATAGTTATTTACGGAAAAGAATGATGTATTCATGTAAGCAACAATTAAATAATGTGTTATTTTTGAATATTAGGACCCAAAGTAGTGCATTAAGCATAATGAATGTGAGAAACTTACCAGTGATGTGATGAAATATTTTTGTTGGAGTTTTGTTCTCTGAGCTGGATGGTTTGGTCGTGGACCTTTCATCGTTCTTCTAAACGAACTTTTCAACACAAAACTCCAAATAGAGAGAAGTGTTTAAATTTCTTCACATATGGCTCACAGCTTGTCCTGTAGACCTCAATGTTGTTTGGTTCTTGTTGAACTTAAATCTGTCATTGTTTACTTCTCTATTTTGATTGCATCTCCCAATGGTTCGATTTCCGGTCCTATGTTTGTTGGTTGATAAATTGGATCAATTTCAGTGTGTTTGTTGATTGCTGATTTTCCTGAGTGCCAAGCTTTTAAAAATTGTCCGATGTTTTTAGAATTACCTCTGTTCAAGATTTCCATATTTCTACAATCGAATGTGTGCCCGCAGTTGTCCACATGTATTGATATAAGTGAGGATATGTCACGGAGTTTGACTGCTAATTGATGTTCATGCATGCGAACATTTCACTTTAAATTGATGATACATACTACTTATATCTGTCATCATCATCAGTAGCACACACCACACAGGGTTCGATTCTCGCACATGGAATAATGGATGCACATTGTTGAGGAGTTCCATACTACGTTGAAACGGCCGTCCAGTGTTTCCAGGTTTTCAATGGCGATCTAGCTTTATTTGACTCATGCATCCAGACATTAAAATATTCATTAATATAAGAGTAAAGCCTGGTGAGAATCTAACTAAGAACAATATCGTTCACTGATCATATGTAGCTCTTATTAGAATTCTTCTTTTCATGGAATACCCTAAGTGTTCAAATTTTCCTCCTAAAGATAAAAACTTGACTAATACTTATAAATGGATATTTGAATGCAAATTCTTGTTTTGAAAAAATTTCAAAACCATCTATTTGCTATCTCTAACCAATTTCCAACACACCCTCTCTCTCTCGCTCGCTCGCTCCTGTCTCTGTATGTACGTATGTATGTATGTATGTATGTATGTATGTATGTATGTATGTATGTATGTATGTATTGAGTACTTTCTCATTCGTTACCAAAATATACATTTGTATATTCCCTTAAAATCAATTCATTTATATATGCTGTAACATACATAGTACACTCCAATGATATTTCAAGTCCGGTTTTTTTTCTTTTTTTTTAAACAGACTGATAAACCTGTGTACATTCAAATTAAAATAAATAAATAAAAATAGTAACCATAGTGATTTCTTCACCTCTATGTAATATAAATTACATAACAAGTAGATACATATACATATATATATATATATATATCCATTGAATAAATTATGTAACATGTTTATATGAAATGAAATGAAAAAAACAAAATAGAAAAATTTAAAATTTTCTTAAATAATTCAAACTGAATTACACAAGTTACTATGGAGCATTTACTAGTAGTTGCTAATGAAGATAATAATGACATAACTCATTCTGAATATATTGATCAAAGCCATAATAAAATGCTTGGAAATTCATTGAATGTTCTAGATCATCATGGAAAACAATGTTGTGTTGAAAGTTTAATTATCAGTAGTCAATATGAAGATAAATTGATTAAAACTGTAAGTCTTAACTATTAGTGTTTATAATCAGAAAGGAGGGTTTTGTGAAAATTGTAGTAATTTTTAATAGTTGAATTCATGAGTTCATTGAAGCTAGATCATCTTGTAAAACCTAGACCACCGTTTCGTCCTAGTGTGGGATTCCTCATTGGCTGTGCACATCTACGAGACTGGTAGGTCATGGGTTCGAATCTCGCGAGGCGGGATCGTGGGTTTGTACTGCTGATGAGTTCCATACTAGAACTAAACGGTCGTCCAGTGCTTCCAGGTTTCCCATGGTAGTCTAGCTTCAATTGATTCATGAATTTAACTATTATTAGTGTTTGGGGTTTGTGATGTGACTGTTTAGTTATAAGTTTATGGATTTAGAAATGAATAATTATTGTATGCAGAAGATTTATAGATTCAATGAATGTTTTGCGTATTGTATTAGTGGAAGTTTGATTGTAATTTTCAACGACATCGGTTCCATAGCTAAATAACTTGAAACTATATAATAACTATTACCAAGATGGTTTCTATATTCAAAAAGTTGATCGCTTAAAACTATCATTGATGTTTGAAATTAGTGTTGCTGACATCATCTAAATCAACTATTGACTATCAATGTCGATTATTTTGATTATTATCATTATTATTATTGTATCTAACATCAAATAGCTGATAGCTGGTTACCTTAATGTTTTTAAAATTATTGAAACTATGAATTTGTAGGGAGTTATAATGATTAATCTCTGATATGTAGGTAATTTTCTTCATTGATTGACCTCATTTAGAGTAAAACTGAAAACTAAGAGGTGAAACCAAATATAGCTTTTTCGAGTTAGTATAAAACTCCTCAGTAGTGCTCGCATCAGATTTCGTCAGCGATCGAACCCAGAACCATTAGGTCAAGTAAGAAATGCTTAATCAGTAGAACTAATGATTCTTCATTCATAGGTATTACTCTAGAATCAATTAATTTTCTACATAGTGTGATGGTCATTCAATTCTATTAGTGATAACTGTTTCACTCACATCGTGTCTGAAGTTCACCAATTATAATTTCTCACTGGATATGAGGAATATTTTGAAATGATCATTGATGTGGTTGCTATAGCTTTGTTGCATGGTTTTGCGGAGAATAATTTAATCTGTTGGTTGTACTTGTCACAGTTCTTGACCCGGGTTTTATCCTTGGTGAGGTCATCGGTGAACAATGATGAATAGTCCCATACGGACATTCGATTTTCCCTGGTTTTCAATATCATACCAAATTAGGTCAGTTTATGACGAATGTTTGCTAAAACATTTCTATAGGTTGTTTAACATAAGATTAGTAGGTTCTTTTTCTTTTGACTCCTCCAGATTTCAAACAATTAAACAAGGTAAGGATTTGGCATTTTTTGAAAGTCACCACTTTAGCAGTGTTTAGAGTAGACGTACTTACAATAGATAACAGCTGCCTTGCCTTGACAGCGCGAAATGTAATGCGATTACGCGTAACCTCGGTCTGAACAGGAGTTTCCTCCTCTTTTAGTCTGTCGAAAACTAGAGTCTCAGCCTTTTGGTCTGAGGTAAGAGCTCAGCTAACGATATTGGAAATTAAATTTGTTGTTTCATCCTTGTCTGATGTCAGATTTACTGAGTGAACATCATCACTTGTCAAGCGTTTCATCAGAGTGAGGAGCTCAAAGGCTCCATCAAGAAGAATCACTTCATCAAAACAACATCCTCTACATAGCTATGATGAAGTCTATTGATATTTAAAGCTAAAAAATCATCAAAAAATTTAACAAACTCAACTTAATAAAGAACAAACCCCGATAAGTATGAATACTCAGATGCACAGCAACAAAATATTTCAACGAACTTAAATGGAAATACTATAATGTATAAACATTATTTCACAAACCCATATGTTAACAAAAGCATTAGATACAGATTGTGATTAGATTTATTCATTCACTGCCATTTATCTACATTGTAATGTACAGTTTTCTATGTCACTATACGAAATTCATCGTCTACTTTCAACGTTATATTTATTCGGCTGAGATGAGTCATTGATTCAATTTTCGATGGAACTCCTTTAACTCAGTTAAACTGATAACAAGAAGGGATTCTTCAGACAACATTCAATGTTGAAATACAACAGAAAATTGGAAGGTTTTCTCAGCTCAGTTAAAGAAATGATCGTTGGTTACATAAAATTAGTGTTCATGTAAGAAAAGGAAGTATTTGAGTTAGTGTATTAACTATGAATCGTCGAAGTAGTACACTTTACAGCAACATAGAACTAGGTAAGCACAAATCAACGTATTGTATTTAGAATTCAAAAATCAAGCATTCATCAAGTACAAAGGAATCATTAGTTCATACAAACACCATAGTGTAGTAATTTGTAAATTAACATCATCAAAATGACTATATAGACACAGAAAAATAGGCTTTTGTTCATTTAAAGCACAAAGCTAAAATTAAAGTAAACTGACCACTTTGTGTGCATAGAATTTGTCTTTCTAGCTATATGAATATTGTATTAATAATAATAATAATAATAATAATAATAATAATAATAATACTGAGAAGCCCAATACTATGAAGAAACTACTATCCAGCGCTTCCAGGTTTTCCATGTTGTTCTAGCTTCAATTGACTCATGATTTAAACTACCGAAATTTCTTAAAATCTCTACAAAAACCCCTTTTGATAAAATCAAGATCGACGACGTCGAGGGTAGATTTCGTACAGGAATGACATCTGTCTGTCAAGACATCCAATCGTAATCTAAGAGTAATGTGTTGGTAAGAAAAGTAATTTCTGAGATTTTTTCGAGACCAACTTGATCGGATATCAGTCTGACAGAGCAGTTGCATCGATCTAGTTCGAATATTGACCGGTTGGTCTAAATCATATTGATCTCAGGGTAACATCAGGGCATATCATTTACTGACTGTTGTATGCTAACGCAGCTTCTTACGCCCGCTTGCATAATAAACAGGGTGGAACGCAACACAGCAAGTAAATATTTTCTAGTTATACTGTTCTTTTTCACGAGTCAAGTCATTCAATAAATAAAAACGAAATCCTGAACATATTCACAGGATTGAGAAATAACACTACCGAAATAAACACCTTATAGGTTGAAGAGAACCATGTGATTGATCCATGATCAATTTGCAAGATCACTGGAAATGTAGAACGTACTACAATAATCTATGCATCATACAGATGCTTACGAGTAAGAAAATACTACCACAAAATAACTCAAGTATTTACCAGTTAATAATAATATGTTTCTGCATGAGCAGGTACACGCCATTTTTACAGGCATGATCTACAAATTACAACATTTGTTGGAGCATAGCATGCTTCCCAACTTATCAAGTTTATAGTTGTTATAAAGTAGACTCGTATAGCGCTTGCTATAAACCATGACATTGAGTTGACGCATATGTAAAGTTTGTTCCAGACGTCAGTAGTTCCATAGCTGTGCCTTCAGAGCAAGATTCTGAAGAAGAAACAACAAAGAAGAACAGCAGAGCAGAAAGGCATTTGGATATGAACGCCGAACGTTGCTTAACATTATGTAGTAGAACAGACAGAGGTATAATAAATTAGATTAAATTCATATTATCTCTTGTTAGAGTGAAATGAAGTCAGAGGCTCCATTTAAGAGAATGTAGTAATAAAGAACAATGAATTGTGATGTTTAACAAGTTGGAGTAAGCTCACATGAAGGAAGGGAAGTCAAAGTTGGTACAAGGAAAGCGGTTTATTAGAAGAGAGTATGCATATAGAGGGTGAAGTGTTAAGAATATTAATAACTATATCTTTTATTGTCTTAGTTTTTTATTTCTTTTTTTTTTGTCCATCCGATGCCAGCCACACAATCCTAGTGTAAAGGTCCGAGTTAGCATGTTATAGGTTGTCTTAGTAGAATAGCCAATCCAGTATAAACTTGGAAACATGAGTCTGAGTAGTGAGCGTAGGAAGACAATCTATATCATAGATTGATTGACTTATGCTTAATCATAGAGAGCCTGATACATATGATTCATACGATAACATGATGAAATAAAGTATGTTAATTTTAATCTAGTAACCAGTGTTTAATCTATATTTTTTGTAGTTTCGTTTCAAGCGCTTTTATTCAGTATGCTGTTGGTTAGTCGTAATCATTTTCATAACAATAGCTTATGTAACCAAGACAAACTATCTGGAATATTCAAATAAACCAATTATGAAACAGACCCAACATTGTTTCGTTTGTGACAATTATGCAAGTCTATCAGAAAGTTCTGGTCTTCGTCCTGGTCCGGGGACCGGATTAGCATGGTTTGGTGGGAAGCCCGTAGTTGGCGGTTGGACCAGTATATCTAGTAATGGAAATCATTTAAGAAATGGACTAACTAGTTTACAAATATCAAGACTGTGTTCAGAAAGAGTAAACCGTTCGGCAATCAAATTGCTTATTGATTCAAAAAATTATGGAAGATGTGAAAATATAAATTATAATGGATGTGCTAAAATTGTGACGAAAAGTTATAGGGTTCGACCACAACTCGGCGTGCCAACACTAACTGCTGTTGTTGTATCACGTACATGTGCCGCTATCCCAGAAGGATATGGTGTTGGTTGTTTTCATTCAGTTGGTGGTGCTGGAATGCGACGAACTCTATGCTATTGTCGAGGTAACTTTTGCAATTATTCTGTCAAAACCAAACAAATTAACAAATATTTTATTATTATTCTTGTTTTGATCATTTCTACTTTTCAGTAAGATCATTCCTCGGTTTTTGGTTTGATCAACTAGTCTTCCATTAGGTATTTTGATCAAACAAAAATGTTTTTCATTAACAATAATTTTGTCTGATATCATTCTATTTAATCCATCTAAATATTGAGCTAGTATTTGAAAAACCATTAATAACATAACTGTAACAGACCTGTTTTATACACCATTGAACATGTTGCGAAATTTGTCGGATTTTATGTTGTATAAACTATTCTTTACTTATATGCATCATTGTCTTATAATATGGATGGTTGAATAGTTACCCGAATGCTATATTCGTCTGTCATGCAGGTCAAGTAAGTACACACTTTCTGTCTGTGACTAATAGTCTGACATTTTATTTGCCTAGTTTCTCATTCTAATTCAGCTGGATTCCTAAAACTATATGTCTATATAACATTTTTCGATTATTCCTTTAGATCGCTCTATTTGGTAAAAAATAGTAAAAACATTTGAATGATTATGAATTAAAGGTTAATGAAGAAGAACACTTTTCAAGTTAGGTTAAATCATAAATCTACAGCTACAAAATATTCACTGCCTATTAGTTCTCATAAATATTCCTTAGTAATATTTCTATGGTTGAAACAAGTTCTCGGTGTAATTACTCAGTCAGAAGTACCACATTTTGTTGCATTTACTAACCATCCATAGCTCAGATATGGAAACGATCAAGAGCGCATATCGTTGATGAAAATTTATTAAAGAGATTCGGCTCAACTTGTGCGTCGGAAACGTATAAATGACAGTATGAACCATGTAAGTGAGTTTACAACGAATTCATAAAGTGTCCGGGTAGGAAACAGAAACTTGGTTGTGATTCCTAACAGAATCAACTCTAAAATATCTTTATTAATAGACACAATCACTAGATGACCGTGCACAACAAGGATTAACATATGCCATTGAATGTGTAAACGATCCTTAATTCGAGCGTACTGTTGAATTACCTCTCCACTAATATCATTTCGTGAGTGCTATCCAATGTTTTTCCCAGACACATGTCCAACTATGGTTATCATGTATGCGCATGTATGTTATTGACTGACTGGTTTTCAAAAATATTACAAAACATTGACTGAACATGCCAGATAGTGTTTTTGTCTACCATTTGGAATGAACTTGTGACATTGCTCGATGACAATAAAGTATTATCGTTATAAATAAGATTCATTTGATAACAGTGCAATTCTGACCTATAGAACGCTTAGATAGCGGAGATCGTCATAGTGGCTTCTTTATACAATACAAGAAGCGACTTGGAGCACTATGTAAGAGTTTGGTTGAGGTAATCCAAACAATATTTATTACGATTGACATACCTGGAAGTGTTTCCCAGTGACTTCTGAAATCCCCCTACTAGCCGTGATTAGTGTGAACGGACGGATCAACGTGCTCCATCGTCATCTTGCCTCTGAGATACGATAACCGGAACATAACCCTTCTAACACCTCCAGCTTGAACAGATTCGTGGGATTTATTGCTAAGACCCACTTACACCGAAAAGATAGCTCTGGCCTATCCACCTTCTTGGCTATAGGGATATGATATCAACCTTTAAGTGGCTGAAAATCACTACATGTAGCCCACGTCGACGTCAGGAAGTTTTTTAACAAGCATTCACCATTCGGGTTTTTACTGGAAATGAAGACTCGATGACCTGTTCAAGCAGGAACATTCAGTGACAAAGAGTGCTGCTTAGATTTTTAGTTTCACCTCAGAAATTTTAATACAAAAGGTGCCTCGGAGCATAGTGAAAAGTCCACCGATCTCTATTATCCACTTGAACGTGTAATAATAAGCTGTTGTTGTTCATCTGAATGGTTTGGTAATAAATTTAAGATCGAATTTAAAGTGACAACCATTCATCTCTTGTTCGACCAAACATGGTATACCATCTTCCAATTCATGCTGTAGTAAAGCATAAGAAATATCCCCAGAGCTGGTTGTTAACTGGATATGAAGTAGTCAAGCCTGAGTCTCATGAAGCCAGGAATATATTTAAAAGAGACGTCACTGGGTCTCTTATAGCGTATAAAATGTGGTTGGCACATAGTACTTAAACTGGGATGGAATTGGTGCTTTCATATTTTGAAAGAAGGATTAATAAAAGCGGAGTTTCCTTCCTACCGTTGTACGAGGATTTCGACAATAAATAGGTTGGTCTCAAACAAAGCTGAAAGTTTACTGGAATTCTGATATGTAATCACCCTCGTAAGTGTTATCCTTACGACTCACGTAGACATACTATCGAGATATTATCTGTGACAGGTGATTATCATAGGCGATACAGACTTACAATTACATACCAACCTCAAAATAGTAGATTACTGAACAATACACACTCTTATGTTGCTATGTCATGTATCAGTTAAGGGATCATCTATTCAGTTCTTTCACTTACTTTTCTCTTGAGCTAAGGTTTTAGTTGGCAGGAAGGCAGGTTGGAGTAGTTTCATTTTCAAAAATGGAAACATATTTGGTGTATACGTACTGACCATTCGGATTAACTGGTATGGTCGTCCTGGTCCTCGGAAAATGGTGAGACAAGCTGCTTAATCATAATACATACATGGTATACCGAAGTTAGAGGATTGCGATGTTGTGAAGATAGTTTATTACTGACAGACTACGTCGTGGAATGTCTTCCTCACCTCGGTTTCGAAGCACTGATTTTAACAGAGCAGTTGTGATCATCAGATATTACTCGGTATTAGTGCTTTTATCTGAGTTATGAGAGTAGCAGACCTGATAAAATATTATGAAATTGCCATGATACGATTACCTTATCTAAAAGATCTTACATCGAAGTCAAATCATTATTTATACTGAGTCTTCATATGGTAACGTTTAAATATTTTCCTTTCATAAACCACTACAAATTACATTTTAGATGGTAACAGAATAGCATCTGCAATATTGAGATCAGAAGGTTACAACAAGTGATCACGCCTGTATGACCGAGCCTTGTCGGCTTGATTAGGTGTTCCCACGCTTACATATTCTGGCCTTCTCGAGGTGTTCAGTAGTTAGTGCAAGTCCTCTTAATTATTGTATGTTTAGCCTCGTGGATCGAGTGGTTAGGAACTAATGTCACTAAACACTAAATAAATTGCATTGAGTGGGTCTTATTCAATGACTCGCCTTTTTGGCATAGGTACCAGTCTGCGTAAATGATCTTATCTAAGGGAAAGCTGTCAAAGGTGGTTTACCACAATATGCGACTTTTGGTTCCCCACTACACTTACTTTGCTTCTGAACTGCCACCATGGTTTAAGTCATTAAGGTGTATCATTGAATCATGATTGAACACAAAGAATTAATCGGATATACATCAACTCATCCCAAGGATATTATGTATTCAAAGTGAATATCCTTTGTGATAGACGAACTTAAGCTTTAGGATGACTTAAATGAAATAAAAAGACGATTCGAACCGATATATATGGGTTAGTTCCCATTAGAGTTCACTAATCTTTACAATCACACTGTCAATGAGATACAGCGAAAATAGGTTCTAGAACAAAAACACTTAGAAGCAACCACAGTTCACAACTTAGATATAACCGCAACACTCAGCATAAAGGCAAGGAAGTAGTTCTATGTTTGTCAAACCATAACGACTGAATGTTTAGTTTTCAGAACGACAGAATGCTATTAAATTCCCAATACCGATCGCTGATGTAGAATAATACTGAAGTAGACAATATACAATAATTTAGTGCAACACAACGATTGAAAACAAATTCTAAATACATATTGTAGAAACAACATTCACAAAACGTATCACCAGCGATTAAGCACTTTAAAAGTTAATAACAGCACTTGATGATAGAATTCATTAGATCTGTGTATCAATTTCAAGCGTTCAGAATCTTTATATGCTTGAGTCGCTTTGGATCGCCTTCTTCTAAGTGTTATAAATCTGAGAAATGTCATTAGATATGACGGCTGTTCGTCTACTGCTACGAGGATTTGTGCACGTTGGTCTGTCACGCTATGATCGAGATAGTCTGTTTCTTTGTAGCAGAGTCAGGCTTTTATATTATTGAGTCAAAATACATTAGCTGAATAAGGGAGGCGAAGGGGTCTTAATTTTTAATAACTTAGGAGTCATGAGGAATATAAAGTATAGCAATGAACGAGAAGAAATAATACCCGAAATTGTGAAAACGATATCACGGTATGTGAAAACAAAAATTAAAAAATGATATATCATGTTCCAATTAGGAACAGATTCACAGTTTATTCACTGAAGTACTAGATCACGTCTTTCCTATCGCTTAAAATGTTGCAGGTATTCATAGTTTGACAACACCTTTACTCGCAACACCCTTATAATCAAAGTAAGTCAACCCAGTCAAATCCGAAATGAAGAGGTTCCAAGATATATTTGAAAGTCTACCAATATATCAGGAAGAGTTTAATCTAATCTTACTAACGGTTATAAGAAATGTGTAGCACAATGCACTCACCCTTGATCTGATGTGAATACGTGACCGAGAGCCTTCAGTTAGATGTGTTAATCTAAACTAATAGGGTCAGTATCAAATGTCGAAAACTTATAGATCTATTTGTTTTGGGGATTTGTTTACCACCACACATTCCACAACGGATTGTAATATGATCTAGTACAGGAAGTTTACTTGATACTTTACACCATATTAATTATGCCTTTCAAACTAGTAAGTCTCTCCAACAAGAAACTAGATCCTCACAGAGGTAACGAACGCACAGTATAAAATATTCGTTTGACCAGTTTCCAAAACCTTCTCGAAGACATTCAGAAACAGTTACATGTATTTGGTGTCACATACATCCGGGATTATTACCGAGCTTAGAAAATTTTTTACGTTCAACATAATGAAGTAAGATAAATATATATCCGTTTTAAAGAATGCTAGCTTGGGTCGCACATTCAAAACGACCAATAAAAACCCAGCTACGGTTTTCGCTTGCAAGGATTCCAATATCTGTATAAACGCATGTCAAAATTAAGACAGTCATGTCTTACATTTCCTCGTGGCATCCGCTCTGTTTATTGTCTGCTTGCAAATGGTAATATTTAATCCACTGTATGATTGAATGATCATTTTTTAGCAATCCCCAAGAGTAGAGTTGTGAAAAGCGTTTTAGTGCGCTCTATGCTTGCAATTTTTGCCAGTCATTTACTGTTTCTGGAGCTCTATTTGGTATTACCCTATGTATTAGGAGACGAGAAATACTTAGCATGCAGCATCTTGCTGTTTATATATGCTTGTTTTTGTTCGAGTGTTACACTGTGTATTTATAAAGACCCAAGTATTCGTAGCCTACTGTTATCGTCTAAGTCGAAACCAGATTGGACTTATTGTCTTACATGCCAAACGTTACGGCCGCCTCGTGCACACCACTGTTTTGACTGTGCTATATGTGTTCTTCGACGTGATCATCACTGCACTATTTTGGGTAAGATCTGTATAGTTAATTTTTAACTTAAGTTTGGGAAATGATGTTTACAGATTCCTTATGCAGTTAAAGTTGAATTGTTTGAGGGTCATGAGACAATCGTTTACTAACTTGATTGGTATGCTCTTTAAGCTTCTTTCAAAATCGATTATCTTAATTATACACATCTGTCAATATGTGGTAACATCGGGAAGTGTCTTACTATAAAAATCCAATAAAGTGACTCATGTAAATACAATCTAGTTTTAAACCTCAGTATATTCAGGGCGAAATATCAAACGTTCCACAGGTTTCAGTTTATGTACTTGAAATATTTCCCTAGAAGGTTTTAGTATTGGTAGGATATTAATAGATCTATCCAGTAATTATGACAAATCTGCTTCTTTTTCTAAACCATATTTTTACTTACGGTCCCTTTATAACGATCACATACACTCATTTGCATCTGGTTGATTATCTCTCTTTGATGTTTTTTTTTCTTCAAAAATTCGGACCAACGAACACCTATGCAAGGTTTATTTGTAGATATTGTCAGCCGGTCAGTCAACTGCAACGTAGGACCGGGCACATACATCCATCGGTTTAAGTTGCCATACCTCATTAGCACAACAAGATGAACACCAAATTCATAGAAGTAGTTACTTCAATGGTAGTAAAAATCATTCCACAAATGGATATGATACAGGGAGAAAGAATTAGTCCATGGAAAGAGAGGTATGAAGTGATTCTAATTTCATAGTTTAAGGGAAGACAAAGAGTGTAACATCTACATCATTGTGATGGATTCTGAGCCCTGCCACCCAGAGTCTCCAACCACTGGTTACGATAGTCGCGCGGACCCCAACCAAGTAGTCTGTATCTACTAACATGACTTAAAACAGAATTTAATGACTATGAACTGACGCCGTTTTTTGGTTTGGCCGCCCCTAACTTTCTTCCATCTGAGTTGACATTATAATCCACGCTCTTACTACTGTAATTAAATCAGTATTTTGAGATATAAAGTTTAGATTTACATTAGTCTTCTCAACCTACGTGTAAATATGTTTCTCAGGTTTGGATTAGGACGCCCTGGTTATGTACTTATTGAGATATATCATTTGTACTTCATTGTTGTCTTGTGTTCAGTCACATGAATTGTGAATCTGAATGATTATACGAGATACTACTCATTTGGATTTCTTGTGTTCTGACTAAATATTTAAAAGGATGGAGATTTGTTTGGCCCATTTATCGCTCCACAAATACAGAAAGCTTACTTTTATAATTTTCGTGGTAAAATTTAATACTGATTAAGGACAAATAATTGCTAAAACAAAGTACATTTGAGTTACTAAGTACAGGTTTATTTAGTAAGCTCTTAACTACATTTATCGTAAAATGTAGTTTAAGAAGTTTTGTATTAGAGAACTATTGGTTGAAGATCATGTTCGTAGATAATTAACTCATAATTCTGTTATCAGTTTTAACTTACAGTAAACAATTTCTATATTAAAATTCTAGAAGTTACATGATACGGCCATTTAGCTTACTTGTTAGAGTTATCAGTTCTTAAAAATTTCATATAGTTAGTCTCCTTGATAAATTTGAATAATACGATTATAACCTATGCCTTCTTATCACTTTATCCAAATTCTTAAGACTACTAGTTTACACTTGTTCACCGATTGTCTTCATAAACTTAGTTGAAATGCAATGAATTGGATTTAAGGCTAACTATAACAATACAATACAAACTCGTAAATCTACTGATTTTTATGTGTGAACTTCATAGAAGAATGTTAAATAACTGACTGTAAACTATGCTATATAACCATATATTTCCCCAAGTGTTAAACTTCAGTATCATTTCATACATTTCCCTCAAACCTATCCACCTTTTTTGAACTACATTCTTTAGTGTTTGACCTTATGATCATTAACACTGTTATTCAAACCTTTTGATAGTCCTTTTGCATGTAGATTCATTTTACCATACTAATGCGCTGTATCAACTTGATCTAACAAACATTTGTGTTAGGCTGCTTCTTGATTATGAAAGTTGTTATTGGACTCGTGATATTTAGGTTTGTTATAGATAAATTCATTGGTTGCCTTAGTAACAATGTTATTATTGTACACATAGTTCTTAAACTTAACACCGTCTTCCAACTCCTATTATTAGTTATTATTATTGATTTATACATTGTTATTTTAGAATTTGATAGCTTAAGCTTATCATTTTTTTTTATCATAAAAAACACTTCATATTAAATACATAAACATCTATTCTCATACTAGTTAGTGATTAAACAATTTGTGACCAATCTTTGTTGACTGGTTACCACACTTTGATAATTAACAGTTAAATATTGATTTCAAGTCGGTAATTTACTCAAAACCTCTAGTATAAATCTCACTCTATACTAAAATTTTTTAGTTATGATGCTTATTCACTGAATGTAGGTTTATACACTTAATTTTGAGCCACATGGATTATGTGAAGGATGATAGAATAGCGTTACACCTTAATTGTCCAAACTGGGCTTATTTATTTATCTACTTTAACACATAGATATTGGTACAAGGAGGTACCAAATACATATGCGCTACACAAATCTCATTTGATATGTGTGAGGGCTGTGATACTGCCCGGATGCGCAGACCGAAGAAGGTGGTTTTCTTAGGGGGCCACACCCCGAGCCTTCGACCTGAAGATCTGATCCACAAGGCAGTGGAGCATCGTGAGGAGATGCAGTCTCATGGTAGCCGGTGAACAACGATTGGTTCATACTCCATTTGTTTCTTCAGGATACTGGAGTCAGCCCATGTGCATCATTGATTTGGGATCCGGTTATAGCGCCGGACGTTCGCTTTTCGTCCTCTCATTTTCGTAAACAACACCCGTGATGCGAAAAGGCAGTGAGTAGTACTTCCCTGGCAGAGGCTATATACGCTTGACCATGTGAGAGCATTTCGCGCGCGAGCGAGAGAGCGAGCGAACACTCTCCACTCTTGGCCATACCAGGGCATTTGGAAGGCGCCAAACTTGTCTACTTTAATCTAAGTTGAAACTTACTTATAATTTAACTAGATCTTGTCTTTTATCTTATTCAATACTTGTTTATATTAACTATTCTTATATGTTATTTTCTTTTTTTTTTTTTTCTTTTTATCCTTTTTCATAAAAGGTCAATGTATTGGTCATGCAAATTGGAGATATTTTTGTAATACACTATTCTATGGAATATTAGGTTGTTCTTTTATAAGTTATTATAATTTATTATTAATATTTCAATCAAATTATTTACCTATTACATGGTCTTATTATTATAAACTATTATGTATGATTACACCACCAGGTTTTATGTGGTTTATTGGTTATTTAACATTATTACAAAGTATAATCTTTTTAACAACAAGTTTATCAATATTAATTACATGTTTATTATTTATTTTTATTCTATATGAATTGAATTTAATGTTTAATAATCAAACTATGTTTGAACGTTCATTTAATCCATTTTATTACAATACTAATTATGATAATCATATTACATGTATTAATAAATATGGAGAAGAAATAAGTAGTACTATGAGTAGTATTACTAGTAGTACTAGTAGTACTACTACTAGTAGTAGTAGTAGTACAATGACAAGTACATCTGTACTACATCATAGACGACAAAAAGAATCATTATATAATAACTATACATCTTTATATAATATTGGTTATAAAAATAATATTAAACAATATTTAGGTGAACATTGGATTCTTGCTATTCTATGTCCATTTATTAATTCTCCATTAACAACAGATGGATTAAGTTTTCCAACATCAAATGATGTAAAATTTAAATGATTGTTTTTTATTTGTTTTTTCTTTCTTATTATCTTTTTCATATATCAGAAAGGGGTGTATATGAATATTATAGTAATTTCAATAGTTGAGATCATGAAATCAGTTGATGATAGACCACTGTGGAAAACCTGAAAGCACTTAGATGAAAAGGTCGTCCAGCGCTTCTAGATTTTTCATGATGGTCTAACTTCAACTGACTCATGATCTCAACCATTGAAATTTTCTATATATCTTTATGTTTATCTAATATCTTTTGTATAGTATCCTTTTTTGTTCAATTTGATTGTTCTGTTTACAAAAACTACCATATACGTTTGATTATAAAAGTATAAATTTACTAATGTTTTGAAATGGTTCATTTGAAAAGAATTACCAATATAAGTCTATAATGAATAATAAATTCTAGTTATACTCTAGCTGTAAGGGCCAGTAATGTTATCTGGTACATTGATATTCGAACCTTTGAATTAGTGGCTGAAAGTTGGACATCTTATTCTTAAGTTATGGCTAACAACTGTAATGACCTGATAGAGGACTATCGACTTCAGTGTTTTTGTTTAACCCCAAATGCCGTGCTATGTCCCGACCGTAGCTGCTACCTTGACGTGGTGGTCGGGCTTGCCTATCGTGATGACCCAACCGAGCTATATTGGCTGGAACTCAAGTTCCTGCAGGTTCTACCATGCCAGGCAGGTCGATTGGAGAACGGTAAGACTAAAAGCAGCAACTCAAGGTCTGAGGGCGAAGTCGTACTGCTGACTGTACAGAGGTGTGACAGCAGTAAGGTGTTTCCCTCGGACAACCAGCATCTGCAGCGATGCTGCCTTCTCACAAGGAAGGAAGGGGTTAGAAAAGGTTGACCCTAAAAATGTCACACCTCACCTTACCCCACGGATTTCCGTCTCCGGCGGTAAGGCCCTTTGAAGAACGGAGCTAACACATTAAAAACCTCCCACAAAAAGGCCGTGCGCGACCGGCCTCAAGCAGTTGTCCCTTGGGCTCTGCGGTCACGCACTCAGGTCGCTAAGACCAACACTAATCCGATTTCCTTTTCAGGTCCCCCAAGAAATACCCTTCCACGGTGTGGGCAACCGGGAAGTGATATCAGCCCTCATACCCGTAACAGCACACGAGACCAAGTTGGTCACATTCAAATCCTTCCTACACCTCTCAATGACTCTCTTATCTCCACGACTAACCCTTCTCACGTCCCTTTATCACCTCGCCCCGCTAGTGCGAACGATTCGAGTACGCGGAATGTTATTCCTGGTCTCCTGAAACCACGCTCTAAACTACACGTAGGAGCTTTCAACGTCCGAACACTGTGCCAAATAGGACAACAGGCTTCCTTAGCTAAGACTTTAGAATCTCGCTCCATCGATGTGTGCTGCGTCTCCGAAACGCGCACACAGGATCCTAGTAGTGTCATTCATTTGACTGCACCATGTCAAAGTAACGAACCAACTCGATTTACGCTTCGTGTATCTGGAAGCCCTGATGCTGCATCCCGTGGCCTCGCTGGCGTAGGTATAGCATTGAGTCCTAGGGCAGAACTAGCTCTCTTAGACTGGATCCCAGTAGACAGTCGTTTGTGTGCTGTCCGACTAAACGGAACAGTAAGGATTCGAAAAGATAGGGACACTCGTCGTTGCCTCTTCGTCGTCTCTGCCTACTCTCCCACTGACTGCAGCTCAGATGATGTAAAAGATGAGTTTTACAGAAAGCTTTCCGACCTTCTCCGAAAAGCTAGGCGTTCAGATGTAGTAATAGTGGCTGGTGACTTTAATGCTCAAGTAGGTAAACTAAGCGAAAGGGAAAGACACCTGGGTGGATCTTATGGTGTCGCGGCTCAAAGAACAGATAACGGCGACCGTCTGTTGCAGCTATGCTCAGATAACCGCCTGTTTCTTGCAAACACTAACTTTAAGCATAAGGAAAAACATCTTTTGACATGGCGACCCCCTAATTCGTCTCAACGCTGGACCCAAATAGATCACATCGCTATCAGCCACCGATGGAGGGGCTCGATAGAAGACTGTCGCTCATTCTGGAGCACATGCTTAGACTCAGATCATGCTCTAGTGCGAGCGCGTATTTGTCTACGTCTTACTGGACGTAGGAAACATGCTGCAAGGGAACCCCTTAGGGTCCTACTTAATGATAGTCAAGCTAAGAGTATATTTCAGGAACATCTAGAAAAACAGCTAGGCAGCCATGTAAGTGATACCCACCCCGAGGCAGCATGGAATGACATCCGAAAAGCTGTAGAAACAGCAGTGATGTCAGCAAGTACGGTAAACCATAAGGTTAGGGAGAAACACTGGATCTCAGCAGCATCTACCGCACTGATAGATGCTCGAAAACTCATTCCATCTGGCTCTGAGCATAACGAAGAGCGGAGTCAGCTTAAGCGTAAGCTCACTAGAAGCCTACGCAAAGATCGTGAACAGTGGTGGGTAGCGAAAGCAAGAGAGATGGAAAAGGCAGCGGCAATAGGTAACAGCAGGCAACTGTTCAGACTTGTTAAGGAAACAGGTATTAGGAACCCAACTGTTAGCGAAACAATCGCAGAGAAAGATGGACGTATTATTCATTCTCAATCCAGGAGATTGGATCGATGGGCAGAATACTTTAGGGATCAGTTCAACTGGCCTTCAGCCACACTTCGGTTTCCCACGATCCCCAGTCGACCTGAATGGCAAGTTGATGTAAGTCCTCCGACTCTTTACGAAGTTGAAAAAGCTATAGGAAATCTGAAGCGTGGGAGAGCAGCAGGCCCTGACAGGTTTACCCCTGAGATTTTTAAGGATGGCGGTCCAGTATTAGCAGCGAGATTGACTGAGGTCTTAGGTAGAATCTGGGAACTGGACGTAATCCCATCTGACTGGTCTCAATCACTGATTGTACCAGTCTATAAGAAAGGACAAAAGTCCTCCTGTGACAATCACAGAGGAATTAGTTTGACTAATATAGTGTCTAAAATATTAGCTTCAATAATACTTCGACGTCTAACCAAAGCTCGTGAAGAGCAGACTAGAGAAAACCAGGCTGGTTTTCGACCTGGACGTGGTTGCATTGATCAAATATTCACATTACGTCAGGTCCTAGAACATAGACACACATTCAGACGCCCCACAATGGTAGTATTTCTCGACCTTAAGGCGGCATTTGACTCTGTTGATCGTAAGGTTCTATGGCAATGTTTGTCACTGAAGGGAGTACCAAAGAAGTACGTCAACCTTATAAAGGCTCTCTACTCGAACACAACTGGTCGAGTGAGAGCTTATGGTGAACTGACATCAGAATTGATTACCTCAAGTGGTGTTCGTCAGGGCTGTCCACTCTCTCCATTCTTGTTTAACTTTGTCGTTGACGTCCTTTTCAGGTGCATCCACTCTTTGTGTTCTCCCAAACTCTAATCTTCTGAATTCTTCATGTCCTTTATTTTCTTTCCCAATTTATTCCACTGGACTATACTCCTTTAATAACATCATCAAACCTTAATGTCCCCTATCTCTACTTATACTTTCAGTACCTCTACCACTATGGGATTTGAATCGATAACTGAATCTCTGTGCTAATGTGGTATGGCAACTCGAACTGATGTACGTACGTACGAAGTTCCACGTTGTTACTGACTGACTGACTGACTGCCGTGCTATGGCCGAGAGTGGGATGGGCCTGCCCTCCCTCTCGAAATGCTCTCACACGGTCATGCGTATAAAGCTCATGCCAGGGAAGTCCTACTCACTGCCTTCTCGTATCACAGGTGTTGTTTACGAAAATGAGAGGACAAAAAGCGAATGTCCGGCACCGGCTTTAACCGGATCCCAAATCAATGGTGCACATGGGCTCTAGTATCCTGAGGGAACAAATGGCGTATGAACCAATCGCTGATCACCGTCTACCATGAGACTGCATCTCCTTACGACGCTTCACTACCTTGTGGATCAGACGTTCAGGTCAAAGGTTCCGGGTGTGGCCCCCTAAGAAAACCACCTACTTCGGTCTGCGCATCCGGGCAGTATCACAGCCCTCACACATATCAAATGAGATTTGTGTGGCGCATATATATTTGGTGCCCTCTTGTACCAATATTTATATGTTCAAATCATAATAATAAATACCTAGTCATGTCGTTTGGAAAATGATAAGATCAAAAGTAGAAGTTTCAGATTTATTAACAAAGCCGTATTAGTGATTCAACCAAAATCTAGTTGTGAAGCGTTTATTATGTAAAATCAACACTCCCAAGTACCTTACTTCCTTACATTTTTACAAATAAACACTTGAGTCTGTAAATAATGCACTACTCTTGCTGCATATGCTTCTAATGTCTATTATGAAAATTTCTAAGTTACGCTGTAGACAGTACAGGAAATTAAAAAGTATTATTGAGAATGACACTTATTACAGGACTCGAGCAGATGTCTCTTGGATAGTGCAGTCACACTCTTGTGTGAAAAAGATCATTCAATTTTTTTAGATTTACGACAAAAATAAATCAAGATGTACAAAGTATCGGTATTCACCTACATGGAACTACACCCCAAGTTATTCTGTTCGTTACTAACCTTGTTTTCATCTCAATTCTCACTTGACCTGTAATAGATTCGACTTTCCGCACTTAGGGATTCAATCCTAACGGAAACACCAATTACTTCAACTTCAGAAAACCACTTAGAAAATGCATGTCAACAGAAGGGTTTACTAGCAAAGGCTCCCGAATTCTTTACCGTAAATATTTATTATGTTGCTAAAATTCAGTTATATGATCCAGATGTGTTTATGAAGCCAAACAATTCCGTAAACTGTCATTGTTTGTTCTTCGAACATCAAGCTATTTTAGAGCCGATTCATATGGTTTGTCACATATATGTTCTTCGTATTTAGTTAGGAAGTAGCAAATGTGTTTGTACGCTGTCCGGTTAAATGGGATTATATGAAATCGGAAGGGTCGAAATATGCTTTATTATCTACGTATACATTCCCACTAACTG